TGTGTCTGTGTGTCTTTGTGTGTGTGTGCGCGTGTGCGCATGAAGCCCTGTTTCTAAACGTCAGAGAATTAAACAATGCAGGGGCCATCGGGCCATCCCCATTGTCATTCGTGGATGGCCAGCGAAGAAGCTAATGACAACAGCTGAAAACGTACCTGCGCAAAGATCGAAGACCAGATTGCAGAGCAAACGAAGACGTTAAAGAAGTTCGAAGACATGCAACAGGATGAAAGAGTGAGCATGAACAGATTGGAAAAGCAGATGAGACTAGTTTGCTAACCCAGGGTATTACGTCGGTCATATCGAGGGTCATTCCGTGTGTGTCTGTGTGTCTCTGTGTCTGTGTGTGTGTGTGTGCGTGCGTATCTGTGTGTCTGTCTGTCTGTCTGTCTGTCTGTCTGTCTGTGGGTGGGTAGGTGGGTGGGTGGGGGAGTGGATGGGTGTTGCAACCGGCACGGGCTGTTGTTCTAGCGCTAGGCTAGTTCAGAAGTGGAGCCAGCATCTGATAACAGAAGACGCTGTAGACTCGCAGTGTTGACAGCACGGTCAGGAGGCTCAACCTAGGTTTCGCAAGAAAGCTTTTCGGCGAGGATGGCGAGCTGGAAGTATCGCTGCTACAGGGCTTATTTCAGCAGGCGGAGCTGCAGGACTGCACGTGGGAGTTTGCATGAAGGTGCGCTTCTGCCGGACGGTGCTTCAGGAGCTGGTTCGTGTTTGCGAGGCGAGGAACGGTTTTCAAGCCAGCCTGCAGCGAACTTCCTCTGGGGAGTTTCGGAAGGATCGGAGCCTCAGACCTGCACAGATTCGATGGAAGATTCAATCGCACAGCTATGCGTCAGACCATCCATGGCCAGGTTTCGAGATTTCTGGGTTCCCCATGGCCGCAGATCTCCGGTGTTCAAAAAGGTTGGGGATGTGATCTGAAGTGCTCCCCATCTGAGGATGCGCACGTCAAGCTCCTGCCCCATGTTGTGGCCACTTTTCACACCCCCGGCTGCTCGGCCGACAGCCACCGGCAGTCACACGGCCCTCCCCACCCCGTCCCCCGCGTTGCGTGATGCGAAGCGAGGAGCGGGTTCTGCAGCTCCGAAAGGAGAACGCCAGCTTGGCAGCGGCCGTGGAGGAGGAGTTGGCGGCGGTGCTCAGCGCCTCGAAGCGCTGCGCAGAGGTGCCAAGATGCACCAAGCCGAGGTCGACCTCTGCGCATCTCAGCCTCACTCGATCACGTTTGCAGGTGATCGGCGTTGACCCGGCACGAGTGGAGCCTCTCCAGCTGATACGGTACGCACCGGGACAGTGCCCCTGGCAGCAGTCCCTGGCACCTTTCCCAACCATCTCGATAAATCGAGACTCGCATCATGCACACATATGCCCCCTGTGTTCGGGCTTCTCTGCAAGAATGCTCGCGCAAGCATGTAGGCGTGTGTACAAGAGCTGAAAGGTTTCTTTTTCCTGCATTTTCCTGCATTCAGGTATTACAGACCCCACATGGACACCCACGAGGAGCCACGGCGTATGTCCTCGTACGCAGGCCATGCTATATAATATGAATATCTGTGCACGCGGCCAGCTGCTCAACATTGGATCTGTCACAGGCGAGCAACGCAGCCACACGCTTCTGGTCTTCATGAGCGATATACCTGAAGAAGACGGCGGTGGCCATCTCCACTTCCCCGAACTGGGACTGCGCATCCTGCCACGTGCTGGAGATGCTGTGCTGTGGCCCAACTTGACGGATGAGGGGGTACCTAACCCGCAGGGGCCCCGGATGGTCCGGGCAGCGAGGACTTTCACATGTGGTTGGTTTTCAAGCTAAGGCAGGCTCTTCACGAAGGTGTCGCGCCTCGCACCTGTGAAAAGATTGCTTCGGGCCCAGTCCAGCTACGCCAGAGCTTGCAAATCCACGGCAAGAATCCACGGCAAATTAACAAGGCCATGAACGTTTGGGTCGCAGAGCGGCCTTTCACCCTGGAATCCATTGCTACATGGTCTGCAAGCCCTGTTTTGCAAGTGCACGCGAATGTTTTGAACTGATGAGTATGTGGGTCGACCCACTCCCGGAAAACAACTTTGTGTACCAATTAAATGAGCTCATTTCTTGCCCCGTGTGCAGCTGGTGGAGGGAGAAGGCGAAAGAGGAGGAGGAGAGAGAGGGAGGGAGGAGGAGGGAGGAGGAGGAGGCGGAGAGGAGGGGGAGGAGGAGAAGTACTAGTATAGTAGTACCAGTTGTTCCAGAAGTTCTAGTGCTACTGCGCACAAGTGAGCAGTTCATAGCACTTGTTTCAAAGGACACTTAAAATCAAGGACAAAACACACATATAATGTAACAAACCAGGAAACAGACAACGCAAGAGAGTCACAGATAACACGGAAACCTGGGAACAGGAAGCCTTTCCCTGACATGACACAAAAAACAACGAAAAAGCAACACAGACAACGCAGAAAGAAAGAAAACATAGATCACCCCCCCACCAGAGCAAGGGGTTGCGGGGGGAGGTGGGGGAGGGGCGCGGCCCCCCTCCCTATATTTGCAAACGCAAGGCCTGCATGCTGGGTTTGGCATGGGTTCGTACTAGTATGGGTTCAATTTCTCCTGGCACGATGTTCCGTAAAGGAAGCTTGCGCGGCTCCTCCAAAAAAGCATTGTCGGCGGCTGGGGGAGGGGAAAGGGGCAGCCACGGCTCCTTGGCATAAACATTAGTGGTAATTCTGATGACAGTAATGACAAAGCTCATGATAACATTAATGTATAATAAGAATAACCGTAAGAAGATCAACAATAGTAGTAAAAAATGCTAATGGCAACGTACCAACAACAAGCCAAATCATATTAATAACAATAAACGCAATAGGAATGCTTTTCACACCGGTAATAAGAACATCATGATAGTAATAATAACAATGCTCATGATAATGCTAATAGCAATGACACAAGTAGAAACAATTTATTAGAATAGAGTTATAATACCAATAACAAAAATAAAACCATTGTAGCAATAACGTCGTAGTAAGATGATAGTACTAGTAGTGTCCATGACGACAACAACAACAACAACAGCAACAGCAACTGCAACAGCAACAGCAACAGCAACAGCAGCAACAACAGCAGCAGCAACAACAACAACAGCAGCAACAGCAACAACAACAACACGAATAATAGTAAAACTACTTACAGGCATAGAAATCGTAGTGCTTTTGCGTTTTGCCGATCCTTCTCTGTTTGTTTAATGATCATTTCTTATTTGGTTTTGATCCTTTTTATTTTTGTTATCATTAATCCGCTTTTACTGTCTTGATCCCTACCCCGCTCTCCATAGCTAGGGCGTTCCAGGCACAAAGTCTTTCCTCACAGCGCCAAAAGCTGCTCTGGATGCTATCGCTCAGTGTCTCGAGCTGCCCATCAGAAACATCTTCAGTTCAGACAATATATGCAAACCAACAAGGTTTTCAGGGCCCTTGTTTGCCAACACCGGAAAGCTTTTCTTTGGAGGGGAAACCAAAACAAATCCCACCAGACCGCCAGAAATCCAGTCAGGCTGGAGAAACTTTTCATTGTTGAAGGGCACCGCACCTATCAGGGTGCAAGCCACGTGAGGTTCGAGACTCCCTATGACTCTGTGCCTGCAGCCAGGCAGCAGCGGCAGAACGAAGAGAAAGCTGTGGCTGCAGCGGCAGCTTCAACTTGGTTGGACTAATGCAGCAGCAGCAAAAGAGCGGCCTACCAAGCAGTATGAGGGTGGTCGATTGTTGCCCATTCTGGTCACCTGTCGCGCAGGTGAACCTCGTCGACTACGATGTTGAGGTTCTCAGCCCAGCACAGACCCCTTGCATACCAAAGCTGCTCACACTGCTTGATGGCACAGGTCATGGCGTTCGTCTCAGATGGTGCGGTGCGCTTACTGTATGACTTGCTTGCAATTGTTTGAAGGGCTCGGAAGTTGTGGGATGTTGGGTGGTCCTTAAGATTGCATTCAAATTCATCTCATACTCTCCGGACCGACCGGCAAGATGACGGTGTCGCCGTCCCTCTTGCTCAGTCGTGCTCATGCCCAACATTACTGATGACATAGCACATGTGTGCGGTTCAGAGCCCGCCTAATCCTACATTTGAATCTTTATCTCGTGGTATGTGCGGGATCCCTGCTGCTTCCTATGTGAAGCCATGAGTGAGAGGTTGCAAAATCCGGTCGCTCAAGGTCGACGAACTAGCGGTCGCGGCTGGAGCTGCCAGAGCTGATCTGGTGGGAAAGGGCCCAGAGCTGTCAGTCGCACAGAGATTAACTTGGCCTAGCTGCACACGGGTTTTGGTGCTCGGGGTGTCGCCAAGGCTCGTGTTGGGCCTCCGCTGTTCGAGCACGGGGTGCTGTCGCGTGCCCTTCAGCGTTCAGAAGGCGAGACTGCCTGACTCAAATGCTTCGTTTCGCTCAACGCACGCATCGTTTGGCTGCTTGAAGGGAGATCTGCTGTCGCGTGCCGACGACACGGTGGCCTTGTGCCTTGCACAAATGGCATCAGCAGTTCTGCGGCGAGGCTAGATCTGGCTCACTTGAGGAGAACTGATTCGAATTGGTTTTGCTGACCGCTGCAGCCACGATTGCTCCAGCCACCTGTATCGTTCTCGCACTACTTCTCTAAACATGCTAGCTAGCGACTTGCACAATCGAAGAGTTCTTGCGTGGCATAGATGCAGACAAACCGTAACTTCGGCTCAAGTGGAAGGGGCTTCCAAGTAGCTTGGGCCGAGCAACCGTGTTGCCAGAGCCGGGCTAACTCCTTCCTCAGGTGACATGGCTCCATCCTCTGGAGGCATCGGCTATCTTTACTTCTTCCCTAGACAGCTGCGACGGATGCAGCGAGCACTTCAAGATGAGGCCGGGAGCTTGGGACTCTCTGGTCGCCGCCTTTGGTTTCGATAGGGATTGGGTTTTCCAGGAAACCAGCCTGCTCCTGCAACTGCAGTGCGGCAAGAGATTGCTTTCTATGCTGCCGAAATCCTCAAAAACGGTGATGCGAGAATCGCTGAAACCTCTTCCCAAAGGATGGGAGGCCACAGCCGTGCAAGGAAAAAATCTACGGCGCCGAGCCTGTGAACGAGGCCACACCTCAGGACTGCATACCTGCTATGGGATGCACCAGGTCCCGTCTTGGACAGCGGAGGCTTGTCGAAGAGCCTCTGAGGACCAGTGTGCTTTGCTTCGTGGAGCTGAGCCCTCCTGCGACTGTGGGTTGGTCGAGGGATGGGCTGGAGATCCTAGCGCGAGGACGAGGCCCGGATTGTTGATGTTGATCACTGTAGCCTTGGTGGCGATGGCTGGCCGGCTGACGGGCAGATGCCGAGGATTACCTCTGCTGAGTTTGGGTTAGCCACTAAGTCGGGGCCTATGATCCGAAGGCCAAGCCCCAAAATGTGAAGTGCTTCCTAAAAGCAATGGGGAGCAGACCCTAGAACGGCAAGAAAAGACGCGAGCACCAGAAGAAAGGACAACATGGCCCTCAGATGGCCACACGAGTAGTGCCGGCTTGTCCTGTAGATCAGGTGCGACCGTGAGCGACGCCATGGAAGGACCCGGCTGCCGACTGGCGACAGCGGCTGCTCCCTGGAAGCAAGCACGACGTGTGACACAGCGATGGCGATTGAAAACTTTCCAGCGGTGAGTGCCATGCGGAGGTCAGCTCTATTTGTCAGCTCTATTGTCATCGCTTCGCAAACAGCAACCTCGGCCCACGTGCGACACCACTGCCAAGCGCCGACGCACTCGCCTCTGAAAGGCCATCGACGCGGGCGCGTGCCAGGCACGTTGGCGAAAACTGCCCCAGGCCGCGGACCTGAGGCCGGGAAGGCTTGAGAAGGCCCGGCAATGGCACACCCATGCAGTCCCTGGATTCAAGCCGATACGGGGTGGCACCGACCTTTTCTGCTGCCCGTGCAGCTCTTCGGGACCCTACAGACTAGAGGCCCTAGGCCGTGTTCATCGCCCTTTTCCGGGACTCTCCCAGTGGCTTCTTCTCTGGTCCTACCGTCTTACCACGAGCCTTATTGTGCTCCTGACGCTTAATCTGTACCGTGTGGCCTGGTGGCCAGCATCCCCATGACCCTACCTGATAACATTGCCTCTGACCGGTGTGCTCACGGAGATCTTTGAGGTTCTCGCCCAATTCGGTGGCCCTTCGATTATACTGGCCGGAGATTCAACATGACTCAAGAGCAAGGGGCCGTGGCCTTTCGTATATGCACTTACTCACGGCCAGGTCCGGGCTGCTGACGCTGCGTGCAACTCTCCCCCGCCTTTCACGAATGCTTCCGATACGAGGCTTTGCATTGCGCCACCCCCCGCCTGTGTGCCACCTCCGTCTCGACCTTCAGGGTCCCGGCCATCTCCGATCATGCTTTGGTCCTCACGCGTTTCCAGGGTGATGCCTTCCTCGGCCGATCCGGACAAAGCTGGGTAGGTTGCGTCGATCTCACCAGCATCCAAATCAGCATTGATCTCCGGGAGCGGCAGGTGCTCCTGAACGCAGTCGTTGGTCTTGTCCTGCGGCGCCGCCGGTTCCTGGAAACTCGGTCGTTGCCATGTTTCGAGGCCTTCCTTGGCATCGAGGCCCCGCAGTGTCCCGGCAGCAGCCATTGGTTGCCTCAGTGCCGCAAAAATGTGAGTTCTAAAGGCCTTTTGACACCGCAAACCAGTGCACTTAGTCGGCTGACAAACCGTCTCGGCTCCGGATCCAACCCAGGAATCAGGCCCTGGCTGCTGCAACAGTGGCGCGCCAAAGTCCTCGAGTCCAAGAACGTGCTGCAGCAAGTGCCCGAGATGCAACCCGCCGTGCACTACGTCCCGCATCCTACTGGGCGAGAAGTGGACTCGCAAATGGCAGACACCTAGCCAGGCGCCATCCGAAGCTGATTTCCGCAGCCTGCTGGCTGCGCTTCCGCAGCATGCGCAAAGCCACGTGGAAATATCTCCCACGGCTGCTGACCTCAGGAAGGCCACCGCCAAGATGAGATCTCGTGCTCGTGCTCCGGATCCCGACGGATGGTCAGCTGCCCTGCTTCGTTGGTTGCCGGATCCGTGGCAGGCTTTCGCTTCACTCTGGAGAGGCGTGATTCCCCTTGGTGTCGTCCCTCGGGCATGGCAGCGTGCCACCGTGGTCCTAGTGCCCAAGGACCAGGATGACACACGGCCGATTGCCTTGCTTTCGATGGCATGGCGTGCTGGTGCGAGAGCTGTTGCTCGTCGTGTCAGAAGCCGGGTGACTGGGTGGTGTGACCACCGTGCTTGTGGGTCGGCCCTAGGCAAGTCAGTGTCGGACATGCATCAGAGGATCTATTGTGCATGGCGCCAGGGCCCGCCAGGGATGCCGATCATTTCTGTAGCAGGACCTGTCGGCCTTCTTCGTTGTTGATGCCGTTTAGAGCACCTGGGTGCCCTTTCTGACCTGACACGTCTCATTAAGGGATTCGACCAGCAGCGGAAGACCTGACCAGACTCAGACTCCCTTCCGCATGGAGCTCTTGGCGCTCGCGATTCTTCTGGATGCCTTGTCCAAGGCGTCTGCCAAGGACCGTGGATCCTCGTCGACTGTGAAGCTGCCATTAATTCGGTGGCTCCAGGCCCAGCTCTTGCAACATGCGGCTGCTTGCTCAACCAGCTCATGACGCTGGCCGTCTTGTCAAGGCCCGTGGATGCCGATGGCAAATGGTCTGGACCCCGGAAGCGTGCCTGCTGGATGGATGCCCCCAAGTGCGCTGCCGATGTCTGCCGAAGCCTGCTGGTCTTTGAACCAGTGTGCCCTCGACACGGCAAATTGTTGCCGCTCACGTCGAGCTGCAGGTGCTTGCGAAGTTTGTGGTGGCAGGCCTTTGACACCGCCAGGTCCCAAGAACGGAAAGTCGTCGAGTTTAAGCTGCTGCTGAAGCCTCCCGCCGAAAGGCGCACCTGTGTACAGTTCCGAAGCCTGATGACTCCAGGACATCAGACGCTGAATAGCTTCGATGACTTGGCCTCGGCCTCTCAGTCCTGATCTGACCGGCGCGGGTCGGCTGTTGCTGCCCGTGGACGCCTGCTCACCAGAACAAAAAAGCCGTAACTTCGTGATGTGGAAAAGACTGACTTCGTAACAGCTGACGGCTGCAGGGTGGCACAGCTGGGCAAGAGACGCAACATAACCATAGCCAAACATGCCTACGCTCAACTTACTGTAGTCTGCCTTGCGCTGAACGGCCATGGAGGCATGCTGCGCAGCTCAGGTGGGTCACGTTCAGTTGCCTGACTGTAAAAGTTTACAAGTGGTGCTTCGGTCTCACAGTAACCTCGTATGCTGCTGGTCCAGAAAGAATCTCCGCTGAGTCCTCGGACACAGCTATGCGGGAGCCAAAAAATATCCGCAATGAGTCATGCTCCGGACCCGTGCCCGGGCTAGACCCGAAGTGCGGCGTCTGCTTCGTGATGCCAAGAGTGCACATTGACATGCATGTTCCCTATCTTGACGATGCTGCCTTGAGAGATCTGACGCATGTTTGTGCCGCTCGTATACCCGAGCATCCGAAGCATAATTAGTGAAGCCTTGGCTGCATAGATTCCAGACCTCATGCAGGGAACTCCCACATCCACATTTGAACCGGGCAACTCCGTCACACATCGCACGTCATCCCGCAGGGACAGGAAACGGACAGAGCGCACCCCAAACGCCATCGGAGGGCGAGCAAGTCTGCGCTGCAAGAGCAACATTGAGTAAAAAAATGAGCTCCAAAAATGCAAACTGCACGTTTCCATGCTTCTGCTTCGTGCGACCAAGGCTCATAAACGAACTGGTGGCTGACCGGCAAGACTGTCGTAATTCTGATGAAGGCGGCACGGTGACAACGGCTCTTCGCGCGTCACAGATGCACTGGCAACTGGAGCCGTTTCCCCTGAGGAGAGATGCTGTCCTGGCCCTTGCAGCCCGTCACGTGCGAAGCCTCTTGTCAGTAAATTTGCAAAGTGCTGAACCCTGAATTAACAGTCTCACCAACTCAACCCTCCTCTGTCCCATTGCAGTCTTTCATACTGACCTGCAGGGAGGCTGATGCTGGCAAACGTGTCTCGGAAAGAGCTTCCAGTGACCAGAAACTGGACGGAGCGGTCAGGACTCGTTGCCTCCAGTGCACGGTCAGTCCGGGAGACGGAGACAAAGGTCACCGCAAGATTCAGGCACTCGCACTTGTGTGGTTCGATGCCGATAACTTATCCATGGTATGAATCATGGACCGACGCAGGTGACAAGTTTCCCTTCTTACCTTCGGTGGGAACATGGCTGCTTCCTCTACCGCGCAAATTTGTTTCATGGTTTAATTATGCAGCTATGCCTTTTCAGTGTTCCATGCTGTTTCCGAGCAGGTCCTCCAAGTCAGTCGTATAGACCAGTATGGACGCCTAGGTCACAGATGCATCGCAGCCGACGCCCGCCAAGAGCGACATGCAAATCGTCCTTCCGAAAACAGAGGGCAAGGTACTCCCCCTTCTCGAGATCATGCCCGTGAAGGCGCGTGCGAAGAAACATACGGGTATCATGTCCATGCGAATGGTGCGGAGCGGTGTTTTCCCACGTGATGCCAGCTGCCGAAGGCGGAGATCTGGACTGGATACTACACGAGCACGTGGACAACCTGCGAGATCCGTCTTCACCATGATCGTGCCATGACGGATGTGTTGCATGTAGCGTCTCATTAGGAGCGGCGTTGGACTTGACACTTCGCAAAGAAGCCTCTGGGCATGTCCTGCCATCATACGGGTGATATCCGAGGTATCGACATTCTCGATTGCACAGGTCCTGAGGCTCGCCACATCCGCAGAGTCGTGTTGAGTCTCAGGCCCAGCTGTGAGCCAAGGCAGCTACGGAGCTCATGAAGCTTTGGCTTTCGGAGTTGCCTAAGACCGCCTGGGGACTGAGCTTCCAGCGACATTTGTGCATCATGTGACCTGCCATACGTGCGGAGGGTTCATGTCTGGTCAGGCAGTCCAGGTGGATGGGAGAACGATCGCCCTGGCAGCTCTTGCGCAGGCCTGGCACAGCCGAAGCGCTAAGAGACTGACACATCAGAGTGCCGGTTGCCCCAATTAAGAGCTTCGGAGCCTTTGGGACGAGATGCGTGTGAATGAGTGTAGCCAGGTGCGATGCAAAGGTGCTTCAGAGGCTTCACTCCTTGCCGTGGCGATACGGTCTGCTGCCGAGAGGTCCGAAGCCTATCTTCTGCTGCCGTGAAGACCTTTCTTGCGAGTTGTATGGGTGCATCGCTATTGGAGAGGCTGGTGAGCAAAATTCATGAGCGCAAGTGGTCCTTTGTGTGTTTGAACGTGTACGCAACTCGGCTCAACTCTTGAACGTTGTATTGCAAGCAGTGATGACTTGCAGTTGCGAAGTCCACCGGAGCCCCGAAGCAAAAAAGGACCTCTTCAATTGGCAGATGAGTATTTTTAACAACGTGACGTGGCTGCTGGGAGCCGGTGGCGCCTACCATGCTGCTGTAGAGGTTTACGGCGTGGAATATGCCTTTGGAGGCCGACGGCCACAAGGAACGTGAGATGCTACCTGCTACTGTGATGGCAAAGTATAGCTTCTTCATATCCGTCGTGCCAGGCACGGAGTGCGGAATTGGTGGCAGCGGGAGCTTTGGCATGGTTACATTGAAGACAAGTCGCGCATGTCTGCCAGTGACACATATACACACACCCCCCTGTCACAAGGATCACCACCTGCACACCGAAGTCTTGTCGGAAGCATTCCTTCAGCGAAAGCCTCTGTCTGGGCGTGACAACTATGTCAGCAGAGGACAGCAGCAGTACAAGCTGCGCTTGTTTGGTCTTACGGTGCTGAGCATCAGCTTACCTGTTGGCTCATTGCTTGGCAGGAAGTTGAACAGCTGATGGTGGAATTGGCACCAGAGTGGTTGACACAGGAGTTGTGCGGTTCATATAACTACAACGGAAGTTACCGCCGTAACAAGCTTTCAAATTCGTAGGGCATCTGCTTTGACATGTTGCAGGACTACGAGGTGTTGGGTCCAAACTGCATCACTTTCTGCCGGCACATGTGCAGCAGAGCTTTGACTTGCATTTTGGATGGTGGGAGCAGAGGCTCATTTCCGAGAGAGACTACAGACTACAGTCAGTGGGGAAGCTTAGTCTTAGTGGCATCGAAGTATAGGATGTCAATTTGCCAATCATAAAACGATATGTCAACACGGCACAGAAGCCATTGAGAGCGGGAGTCGAAGTGTTAGTTCATTTGTTATTCGCCTTACGGTTCACTGAGCGCGGGCTTCCCATTTCATGGTGGAGCAGTGCAGAGAGTTGACCTATGGGGAAGGGATGAGTGCTTGGAGCTACTAGTTGGACGAGGGAGCCCTCGGCATCGGCGTTGATTCTGGAACCGAGAACTGCCTTGCCGTGCTCTGAGCGGTCTTACCTAGGACTTGGCGTTGCTGACGTGCCAGACTGGGTGGATGCCATGGCTCGAAGCATCAAAGTGGCCTAGAGGAAGGTTCAAGGATGAAGGAATTTCTTGCGAGTTCTTTATAATGGTTTTGACTCAGGAACGCAATGTCATCTTCGATCCCTCGACGGGCTCGGCCAATTACAAGGGAGGATCCTGCCCTCAACAGCATTCGTGCAAGCTGACGCTTGGATCGTGTCGGCTATTTGTGTGCGCGTTTGTGGCCCCGCCCACCTCAACCTAGACAATATTAGGCAGAATATGTCGCATGTCTTCAGAAAATGCATACGGCCGGCCCCCAGCATCATCGAGAGATCCAAACCTCATTAGCCTGTGAGTGTGCTTCGGGCTGCCGCGCGGTCTTCTATGCCCAGGTTGGGCACACCCCCCGCCCATAAACCTACTTTGCTATGTCTTTACGGGTACTTGCATGGGACCAGTGTATTGGAAGACACGTCTGGGAGGGGCGGAGCGAGAAAGTTTCCATGCAGGTCCAAGATCACTCCATTCCCGTCTTGGGAAAGCCTGTACAAGCCTGTGCTAGAGAGTGTTTCCCTCCTTCAGGAAGGAGAGGAACCCTCGAACGCGTTCTTGTATCAATCCAGCGAACATCTTCAATGCCCTTGGCTCTTAATCAGTGTTGGACCTTTCACAGAGGCAACACTTACGACAGAGGTTACTACGTACAGGTCACTTGAAAAATTGCCTGTGTATTTGCATCGGTGTTGCACTGGGCCAGCATGACAGCAGCGGCATAGCGAATTTCACTCCGACCGACGTTGGCACACACGCGGGGACATACTGCCATCACATCAGCACGTGCAGATAATTGAACATCTGACAGCTGCATGGCCAAAGCGAACTGGCTTGGCTCCCTCCTCTTGAATAGGTCCCCTTAGAACTAGCCCAGAGCTTGGATGTGACCGCTTCGTGGACGTACTGGAGCCCAGCCCAATTAAAGAAGTCGACGTAGACTTCCAAGGAAGGTACGGGTATTGCGCTCAGTTAGGCAGTAGGTGCTTTGTAGTACTTTGTAGGTGCTTTTCTGGGGTCGTAGTAGCTTAGTAAGGACAGCAGCCACGAATGCTCCTCAATCACGGATTACAGATTCCGAGAGTCTCCCGTCTCGAGGCAATCGCAAGGCTTTCTCGCTGGGTTCGTGGAAGTTGTGGTCTGCAGCTCCTGCGAGTGCGAAGCCTCGGCAGCGAAAGGGATTATGTTTTGCAGGAAGCAGCACTCGCTTCGATCTTGCAGTCGTTCTCATGAGAACTTCTTTCCAAGAAAGTGCCTACTTTGTTCTGACTCCTGGGTTGCCCGAGCTCGCATCTTTGCGCGCCGAAGTGTTTGTGCTCTGTATGAAGGAAATCGAGCCTGGCCTTCAACACTGGCACTGCAGTGAGTGCGACGAGAGCTACTGCACAAACTGTCTTGTACCCCCTGCTTTATAGGTGCTTTGAATTCTGCAGTGCTTATCCGACACTGGGTGAAGATGCGGTCGTTGAGTGCAGGCCAAAGTTGTCGCCGCACTCACGTTCCGCGCATCGGAATATCGCGCATTGTCGCGTCGTCCATTGACTTGAATGTAGATGTCATTCCTTGTATCGTTGCGGGTAGGCGCCACTTGCAGGCTCTGCTGCTTTGGGCCAACCATTTTCCTGCACCATTTCCTGTACAGCGGAGCTGTGCTGTGCGGTCCTGCGGCTTGTGCGCCGGAAGTTCTGTTCAAAGCACATGCAGCAGGATCCCAGCGGGTAGCTGCTTTTAAATCGCACAAATGTTTTGCAAATGGACAAGCGAAGCCAGGCGCACGCTGGAAAACACTGCAAGAAATGAAAGCTACTCTGAATTCTTGCACTCTCTGACTGTACTGTATGATACGGTGACAGGTGCAGACCTCACCCCTACGGGGATGATTGCGCCGAGATCTGAGAGAGTTGTCTCTGAATCCCACGCGTGGGGTTGTGTTCGTCGCTCGCCCGCTTGAGGCTGGACCCCATGTGTGGCGTTGGCCTCCATCTGAGTGGCAGGGTTCTGCTTCGAATTGAAGTTTTGAAGCGCATCAAAAAGCTCATTGAGTCCCTGAGGCACGTATCTTTTTGCCTTGCAGTGGGTCCTCGCCCGCCACGGACCTGGCCATAACTCCGTGGCATGATTCTCCTTAATATAGCAGGGACTGCGTTTCAGACAAGGCGATGGAGTGTCGGCCGAGTTATTGGGAGCCCTTGGCCCAGGTAACGTGCAGATACTCTGCGATTCTTAAACGGGGCTGCGTGCTATGCCATCCTTTTTGGCAACAACTGCTTCTGCTAGGTAGATGCCGAGCGAGAAAGCCTTGCACATGCTCGATCCAATGCTTCTCGGCAAGGCTCGGCATGTTGATAGCCTGCAGTCCAGAATCGGCGCCCAGATCCTTCCGGTTCGATCAGAGAACTCAGCATTGGAGACCTGGAGGCTGTCGAACACTGGCCCCAGAATTCCTGGCTGGGTCCAAGCCTATAATGCAGCTATCTGCAGCTTGTTGGCTAATTTTGGTCGCATCTGCACAGCGTCTCGTCGCCGCATGCTCATGAAGTGTAGTATGTCAAGATAAATGGGGAGGGGGTAGGCCATCATGATGGTCGTAACAAGCTCGTGGCATCAACTTAGCTGTTCTTGAAGCACTCAGCGAAAGATGCTACACGCATGTCGAATCCTGCAGTGCGAGCAACGGACAGAGAGTCGAAAGTCGGGGAGGGGAGCTAATCGAGCCTTCGTTGCCATGGCTCGTGTGTGGGATTTCTCGGCGAGTTTTGAGCCGAAGACCGTCGCCACAGCCATGGCGCGCATCTGGAAACTTGACGTCAGTGGTGCCGTAGCCATGGCCCCATGTTGCAATCTTGCCTCCGTTTCCTTGACAATGTCAGGAAGCTCGACGGCTGGAAGTGACTTAGCGGCACTCATCTGGGTCATTGGAATGCAGGAAGTGTGTCGTAAGCTACGTAGAGAGATCAGATGTAAGCGGTCGAAACCAGCCGCCAGCAGCTGGCCGGGCCGCGGCGGGCATTGAGGTTTGCGACGGTTCATGATGCAAACAACCGGCCCGTTGATCATTGTCCAATCTCGCTGGAGCCGATGGAAGATCCGGTGCTTGTGTGCGATGGGCACATCTATGACCGGAACTCCATCACGCAGTGGATTGCGGAGGGTAACAAGCCATTTGTCTCGCAGGTGTTTGTGCTCGGCTCATGTAGAGCTGAGTCCTCGCAGGACTGTACTTACTATAGTTCTGGTGACAAGCAGTTGTTGTCAGCCGAGGCTATCGCCCTGTGTCGGTGAAGATTTGGCCCATACCAAACTGCTGAGGATTCAGCCATTTCGCGTTGCCGTGGAACGCTTTCTCAGGCCATGAAAACCACGCTTGCTAGGATCTCGTTGAATGCGAATGCATCCCAGCAGGCAGCGTGGATCTGCGAGCACATCAGCGGAGCAGGCTGCAGTCTTCAATCAAGCCGAGGGAGACTTGAGCTGTTGATCCTGTGGCGGAGCCTTTCAAGTCTTTGCCTCCAAAGCCTTCGTCTCTAAGGAACTGATCACATGCAGACTCATGCTGCGGTGGCAGCCATGGTGCAGAAGAAGCTGCAGCAAAGGGTGGAGAGGCCCAGGAAATCAATGCACTCAGATTTCTCAGTTCAGCGGCATATCACTGGCAGGGCCAACGGCAAGGGCAAGGAAAAGTCATGCGATCGGGCATTGCCAGCTGGCCGCTTCGCACTCGACGTTGCCTTGCGGCATGAGAGTTTGTGATCTGTCCATTTCTGCTAAAATGTCGGCCATGTGCTTGCGAATACAGAATCAGGCCTTGGAGAGCTCGGTCCATGAGAACGAAGTGATCCGGCTGCAACTGCCTGATTGGTAGTGCGGCAGTTTGGAAAGCTAAGCTAAGGAACGGCTGGCACAGATGCAAGAGAGGGTGACCCCTGGCTTGCCATGAAGTACTGTAGCAATACAACACGCAGAAGCGGAGACGGGAGGCGCACTACAGGCTTCGCAGACAGCTTTCACAGTACTCCGTCCATGCCATAAATCAGTGTCAAGCTGCTAGTAACAATTCATTCAAAGGCGCATGTGCTGTGGCTATCCGTGGCTTAGCCAGGGCTTTCAGACCTGGTTCCGGTTGGGCTTTCGATGTGAGGGCTGGAGTGGAAGTTTTGCTCTGCCATGCCCAATGCATCCCAATGCTTAGTTTCAGCGGTTGGTTTGATTCGTTGTTTGTGTGGCGAGTTTCTCGACATGCGCGGCTAGGGGCGCACATCAGGTGCAGGATGTGCCGGATGTGCAGGGTGGGGAAACGTGGAACCATTCATTCCAAAAGCAGAGCAGATATCGACTGGTCGCTGAGGGATGAGGGACGCCGCGAGATGGAGAAGCTTCGGGGCAGTCTTCAGGAAGCGGCGCTCTTGCTTCTGCAGAGATCTCTGCTGCGACAGCATCTACAACCTCGCAGAGAGAAGGCAGCGACAAAGTTGCAGAGGCACGACAACGACGGAAGTTCAGCGCTGCAAGACCTGTCCTGAGTTTGCCCGCTTGCTGCGCCGAAGGTTCTTCCGCCAGCAACTCAAGCTGCGAACTTGGCGAATCAGAGCGGAGAAGTTGGCCTCGCATTTCGCAAGAGCCCTGGCTGCGGGCAACGAAGAGCTCGTGGCTCGCTTTCAGTCCAAGGGCGTGGCGCAGCTGCACTTTGCCGCCTTTTGCAATCATTGCAGGTTGATTAGCAGCCATTGCAATCCGCTGCAATCCGGGCTCCAAGGACGTCGACTACAAGCTCGTGCTTCGATATCTCAAGGAGGGAGAAGTCAATCGACAACTCCATACCGGGATTAATCCACTTTACACTGCGGCGAAAGCAGGTGATCCGGCAGAAATGTCCAAAGACGTCGGCATTGCATCACATGATTTATCATCGCAATTCCTTGTGCAGGTCATACGATCAGCGTGCGGCTCCTGCTGAAAGCTGGGGCAGACAAGGCGTGCTGAATTCATCCGCCTGCCCGGGTGACGTTTTACCGAGACATGAGAGACGATTCGTAACACTTGTTGTGGCTGTGGTCCTTCATGCGAGTTAGCCAATGGGGGCCGAGAGCGATGCAAAGCCCCCAGGAGCATTCCCAATGAGTCTGACTGACAGGAGGTGATGGCTGCTGCGGGATCGGAGGAGAGCAAAATGCACACTGTGAAGACAACCCCGCTGTATTCGGCGGCCTCGTGATCCCCGGCACAAAGATTCAGGACAAACTTTCTCCTGATATGGAGTCCACATGCCTGGAAAAGAAGATCAAAGGTCAAAATGGCCTCAGACTAGTGACTAGATCTTAGTCGTAGATATTGCTCCAGCCACAATGAAGGCACCTGAGCCACAATGACCCTGACATAGCCTGGCAGCGTCAGCCAGCCACATTCGCCAGCTCAGGTGGGCACATTGGAGTTGTTCGGCTCTTGTGCGAAGCTCGTTGCAACATCAACGCCGGGCCTGCATTGACTCCACTTTTCCATGCCGCCGAGTCAGGCCACATGGATGTAGTGCGTGTTCTATGTGCTGCCAGAGCAGCCGTCAACCTGACCACGGATACTGGTCTGGTTCCGTTGCATGCTGCAGCCAAGAACGGAGACTTGGAAATGGTGCTCCACCTGTTCAGATCTCGAGCTCAACCTGACATAGCCACAAGAAAGCCCGCCACGATATGCGCCTCTCACGGAAAGGGTGAGTTGGAAGCACGAATTACGCCTTTATTCCTGGCTGCAGGAAACGGGTTTGCCACAGTTGTCCAGGCGCTTTGTGCTCAACGAGCTGATGCTGGTCAAGCACTGCCGGACAGCGGAAGAACACCCTTGTACATTGCGGCAAGAAGTGGTCACGCAGACGTTGTGAAGGTCCTCGTTGAGGAAGGTGTAAGCGTCAATATAAGGCTAAACAAAACTGGTTGGCTGACGCCCTTGCTAGCAGCTTCGACATACGGTCACATGGCATGCGTACAGATACTCTGTGAAGCAAGAGCGGATGTGGACGTTTCAGATAGAGAGTTGGATTCCACCGCAGTTCACATAGCCTCGTCGCAGGGTCATGCCGATGTGGTCAAGCTGCTTTGCAAAATGGGTGCAAACTTGAACAAATCGCCAGCAAGTGGTGCAACAGCAGTGTACATGGCCGCCCTGAATGGCCACACCGAAGTTGTGCGAACTCTCTGCACAGCCAAGGCAGCGCCGGACACAGAAACCAGCAGCAAATTCGGAAACAAGACACCGCTTTTCGTTGCTGCAAAGAGTGGGTACCTAGAGATTGCCAAGATCCTCTGCATCGCTCGTTGTGATGTACACCGATCCTCATCCACCGGTGCTACTCCCCTGCATGTGGCAGCCATGCATGGTCATGTGGAGATGATGGACAGGCTCCTGAAGAGCCGAGCAGATTTGACCCGCGGGACCAGCATCGGTGCCACGCCGCTCCACCTGGCATCGCTGAGCAACAAGCCGGAGGCTGTGCGCTTCTTGTGCCAGGCCCGGGCGGACAAGCATGCCAGCGCAGCCAGGACTGGGAGCACGCCGTTGATGATGGCCGTGCTTTGTGGTCACTCCGATGTTGTGGACGTGCTGTGTGAGGAGGACCCGAAACGACAGGCGAAGATGTTGAAGCAGACTGCGCTCTTGCTGCATGTAGCTGCGCGTAATGGCCACGAAGGGATTGTGTGGCGCTTGTGCAAGTGCGGAGCAAACGTCAACGAAATGGTGACACAGGAGGCTCTTGATCAACTGCATGAGGCGACACAACCACCTTGTGAAGATGAGCTTGAGGCGGACATGAGTAGAGAAGGGATGAGAGAAGATGAGTGGGCTGAAGACAACGGAGAGGAGGTCAAGAGAAAGCCTGAGCTCAGGGAGCCGGAGGCGGATGAAGACGTGCCGGCTGAGGTCGAAGTGGAACGGGAACACCCCGAAGTCTCTTTGCATGTAGGCGCAACACCGATGTTTATGGCTGCCTTGCTTGGGCATTTCGAGGCCGTGAAGGTTCTCTATGAAGCTGGAGCCCAGGTTGACAAGACTGGAGCAAAAGACGGGGCAACGCCCTTCATTGTGGCAGCTCAGCAGGGACATCTTGAAGTTGCAAAGTATCTGCTCGATCTTCATGCTGATGTTAACAGGCGCTTGACAGACATGGGTGCCACGGCAATCTATCTGGCTGCAGAGAGTGGGCAGTCAGAGATTGTACAGTTCTTGTGCAAATACCGTGCAGATCTAAATCAGCCCACTAGTGATGTCCCGCAGCCTCCATTGCTGGCTGCTGCACTGCACAATCACTACGACATCGTTGCGACACTCTGTGCCGCCAGAGCAAACCTGGACCAAGTCCGGGACGACGCCACGCAGGACACGACCCTGACAATGGCATCAGAGTATGGTTTCGTCCAGACCTGCCGTAGCCTCCTAGAAGCCAGGGCCAATGCAAACAAGGCCACAGGTTCTGGAGCAGCGCCACTTCTCTTGGCTTCCGAACACGGCCACGAAAGTCTTGTGAAGCTCTTGTGTGCGGCGCGGGCTGACCCAAACCAATGCTTGACGACCTCTCGTGGAATAGCCCCTCTGCCGGTTGCTGTCAGAAGGGGCTTCCTGCCAATCGTTGAGCACCTCCTACAAAGTCAGGCAGACCCCAACATGAAGTGCTTTCCGGCACATCTTTCAGCCATTATGCTGGCAACGGAATCTGCAAATGCCTGCTTAGGACACACGCTCGCAACGATGCCTGATACGCATTTGCATTCCGATGTGGGTACCCCTGTGTTGTTCGTCGCTTTGTTACACCACCGGATTGAGGTGGTGAGCATGCTGTTGCGCCACCAAGCTGATGCGAACCGATGTGCGGACGACTTTAGTACGCCTTTGCTGTGTGCCGTGAGTACCGGTTTGACCCAGTCAGTGCGAATCCTTTGTGAGGCCGGTGCGGACATCAACTTCTCACGTGCACCCCAGGTCACAGCACTCCAATCTGCAGCAGGCGAAGGCCAAGCCGAGATCGTGGAATACCTTTGTCAGAAGCGTGCTGACGTCAACCTGGACGCTCACGATGGAACGTTTCCCTTGCTGGCGGCCGTGGCAACCGACGACATTGACAACTCCCCCACCGTTGTTGAGCTTCTGCTGGTCAAGGCGGAGATCGACAAGTCTACCAAAGATGGGAAAACCCCACTGATCGCAGCAGCTGAGCATAACCAAGTCGAGACTGCGCGCCTCTTGCTGGGATCTCGTTGCAACATCAACGCTGCGAAGCAGAATGGAACAACTGCTTTGCTCATGGCAGCCGAGGTCGCTCCCCAAAGCTCCAACTTGGACATGGCACAGCTCTTGCTTGAGCACAGGTCATCAATAGATCGCGCAAACTTTGACTTCGGGGCGACTGCCCTGCACATTGCGGCTTCTGGAGGACATGCGCCTTTAGTACAGCTACTTCTTCAGCATAGGGCACAGGTGGATAAGCCTTCAACGAAGGGCCACAGACCACTTCATTTTGCTTGCTGGTGGAACCATCCTGAAATTGTCCGCATGTTGTTGGATGCTAGAGCCGACAAGCATGCACGCGTTGACAACAAGCCTGGCAACAACGCCTTCCTCATGGCGGTGTTGCAAGACAACCCCGCTGTGATGAAAATCCTTTGCGAGGATCAAATCTCCGAGCATCAAGACATCGAGCTTTGCAGTGCTCTGTTACATGTGACTGCCAGAAATGGTCAGTCAAAAGTTGCTGACTGCCTTTTCGAACTCCGTTGCGACTTGAACAGGCTTGTCCAGGACGTGGATAAAGCTGATCTCACTTTGGCAGCACAAAGTGCACAGTGCGTGCACCCGTGCAACTCGGCAACAGCTAACGTCGAGGAGCCTGAAGACAAGGACTTTGATGGTGCGGATGCGGACGATTTCGAGGAAGACATGCTACGCGGATGGGCTGATGTCGATGCTGGCTATGCTGCGATGTATGCGGTGGAGGTCGACCTACAGGTTGGCGCCACGCCTTTGTACCTTGCAGCCTTCTATGGTCATGACGATTTGGTGTACAGTCTCCTGTGCAACCGGGCTGATCCCGAAATCTCTTGCAGACATCAAACCCCTCTGATGGCTGCAGCCCAGGAAGGAAATTCGGAGGTGGTGAGGGTGCTTTGCGAAAGCCAAGCAAGCCAAGCTCATTTCGACCTCGACCGAACGGACCAGCAGGGAAGGACGGCACTTTTCATTGCTGCAGAGGAGGCACGCACGGACGTCATCTACGAGCTGTGCAGGGCAAGGGCAGATGTCAACAAGGGAATAGAAGGCCTCTCACCGCTCCACATGGCTGTGAGCGGTAACTGTACGGAGATGGTTTGTATGCTGTGTGCCTCCGGCGCTGACATTGAGGGTGTGAGGGCAAGCCTACAGCAGACGCTCGGATATTCACCACGGTCGCGCTGTTTCTTTTTCTTCGCCAGGCACTGGAAGACTGTAGAAATACTCGAATAACCGGCAGTGAAAGCAAGATAGTTACATTATATCCCTCTGTGTTTCCAGTGAGATGCCCAGGATGATCAGAGAGCGTGCCAGTGAAGAACACGGTGACAACGACAGCTCGGAGGGTTGAGCATATGGACATCTAAGAAGGAGAACGCACATGATGCGAAAAGAGCCACCACTTGGCATGATGTCGACTGGGCTGAGCATCTGAAGCTGCTTCGCCGTTCCATCCAGCAGTAGAAAACAGGGAGGCGGTTGGGGGGTGTGAATGTGCAGCATGTGAGCCTGGTTGAAGCAGAGTAAGGGGGCGAATCTCCAAGCATCGAACGACCACAGCTTCAGGTCCAGTCGGATGCTTCCCGTCGGAAGCAACGCAGTCGACCTCATCCTCGTTGACCCGTCGGCTGCTGAGCCTTCGAGTGGTTGCGGATGGTTGCGGAGTCCTGAGCGATCTCAGGCCCTGGGGGCAACGCCACAGCAGGCCAGCTCGTGCCATGCTTTGTGTCGCTATACAAAGACAAAACCGCTCCCAGGCACACGTACGTGCGGCAGCATCTCTACGCTTGGGTCTTCTCCACAGGATGTTTCGGAGGGTTGCGGCAAGTGAGACTTTGCCTTCTGGCATCTCTTGCCTTTAGGCGTGCGAGTGGGCACGCGTTCTTCGACCCGGAGGCCTGGGTCTCCAGTCTCCAGGTTTGGAACTTTACACGATCAGTCGAGGCTATAGTCCACAGGAGCTTGCCGATTGCACGCACACTGGTCTCAAAGACGCGCAGCAAGCCGGCACCAGTTCACGCAAGGTCGTTGGGCGTTACATAGCCCGTTTCAGGTCTTGAAGGTTTGATGTTACCCTGCTCTCCGGCTCAGCTTTAGAACAGCAACACCTTGTGAGCGGGAATGAATCGAACATGTTGTATGAAGAAAGCTTCCAGCAGCACTAGATTCTTGGTACCGTGGTCGATGTTGATGCTGCTTTTGCCTGCGCATGGGCTGATGCGCCTCAGAGATGGGTGGCAGCTCCAGCAAAGCATCCACTTGCAGGGTGCGGAATCGTCTCGGCTGCTCCGTGCCGCACCGCATTCAGAGTTGCAATTGGCAACACCGTCGCAAGCTTTTCGAAGATCTGGCGCTTTTTCGCTCGCGAGGTTCGGCTCCTAACACCACAGCCACATGGCAGTGGCATGAATGGCATGCAACAGCTTGAAGTTGCGCACGGCGCAGAGCACTTGAGACTCCGAAGCAGGCAGCGACTGCAGAAAGTCTAGGCTGGCGCAAGAAGGCCGCCATGTGCAGCTGGAGTCTAGCCAAGGATCGAAGGTGCTGGTGAGGATGGTCACGTGATTGCTGTCAGATTCCAGTTCCAGGGCCAGGAGTATGACAAGGCTCGGAATCCATCAGAATCTCATTGGGTGACCGGCCCTTCGCAGCACTTGCGTGCAGATCCTTCATGTTCAGCGAGGCATTCAAAGTACCAAGCGATGCGGTGCTTCTTCTCCGCTCATTCGAGAAGGGAGAGCCACTCTTCTTCGTTCCACGGGGCGGATAGCGCAAGTGTATGCGTGAGGTTGCAGCTCCATCTGGCCAGCTGAAGGCTCATACTGTAGGAGCTAGCAGGAAAGGATAGCATGTTGCTTTACCAGCAAATCCAGCACCTGCTCAATGCACAGCCCAGGATTGCCTTCCGGGTTCAGACTGCCACGGGTTCTTCGCCCGCGGAGGAGGCAGCCGTGGATTCCGTGCAGCTTTGGCAGGCGCTCTGTCGATTGTTGAACTCTGGGGATTGGTTTCATCTAACCTGGCATCAGGGCATGGCTGCAGTTTGGGACTCTGCGGAAGAGGCTTTCAGACTTCCTCATGTATTGCCCGAACCATGCGGATCCGCCCGAGACATGTGCAACGATCACAGGGGCATACTTCAGACAGTTATGACTCCTGATGCCTTGCCTTTTGGATTGAGTGACGGATCATCTCACGAAGATGATTCGCTTCGCCAAGACGAACATGAAAGTTGCAAGGCTCGATGCGACCCCTCTACCAGTTACCACTGCTGAACCTGTGCAGAACAATTGCTGAGAATAAGAGCCCCTATCCATCAAAGTTGACCCGTTGCAGTAGGCTGCTTCGCCTGAGACTGGACGCCTCGAGGCACAACGGAAAGTGCAAACACAAATCTCAGTGGGAAGAGCTGTTTCGTGACGTGTTGCGTGCCAACCCATGCGAGCTTTCAAGAGGCGACGCCTCAACGCATGCTTTGCTTGCTGCACCTGCAATACAGGGGTCAACACGAAGGAAGCACAAGTAAGACCAGCAGCTCTCTGCATGCGCAGTCGTTGATTCTCCTTTATTTTGGCCTCCAAATCGCAGACGCTTCAGACTTCATGTGGTTGGGATATGTCTTCACAGACTTGTTGGTGGGAGTCAACCCAGGCAGTTGTCAGCGACGAGGATGCAGCAACAGCCAGTCCTCCCCCAGTCACCGGGGAGGTTGTGGAGGCAAGGTTGCCAAATGTTGCTCGTTGCGTTCTTTGAGCACCCGATGGGAGGTGATTCCCGGGAACCTGTCTGTGGCAGAAGTGTCAGAGGACCCACTGTGGCCCAGCCGTACTCGCACACGAAGTCTCGACAGTGGCAAGGTCTTTGCCTGGCTGGTGACAGTTAGCTAAAGCGGCTAAGCCTGGCTGAGGTGCTATGCCACCGGATCTGGCACATGGGTGGATGCGGACCCGCAGAGCTGCGATCGAGAAGAGGCCAGGCCCGACCAGGCCAACCAGGCGCCTCCGGAGTCCTCCCTTGCCTCTGCGAGGAGCTGGACATGCTTTTTGAGGAAGAGTCAGCGAAAAGAGGCCATGCCTCTGATTCAGAAGGACCACAAGAAGCAGATTCGGAGGCCGAGCGGCCTTCGCAGAGCTACTTGCTGGCCGCTGTCACTAAGCAAGGCCTGTGTCGAAGCGGATCCGACTTGGACGCTGGAACAGCCGCTCCTCTTACTTGGAAGCCCGAAAAGATGTGCATCTGCTGAATGTCTCTGAGTCTGAGGCGAGATCTCTACGCGGAGCTTTTGGACTTGCAGTTCTCCACCGTGCGAGCTCGGAAAGCCCTGGATGCTGGCTGCGCAGACCTTGAAGATGCTGTGGAATGGTTTGATCCTCAATACCCAGCTAGTCTTTCTTCCTGGACCCTGAACCACTGCTTCTGAGGCTGGAAAAGCATCAGCATGATGACGATATCGACATCTCTCCTGCCATGTTGAAAGCTCGCGAGGACCGGGGTGCTGAGTTTCCTTTCTGTTCGCCGTGTGTTGCAGAGGGCAGCTGCAAGGCATAGTAGAAACAACGATCAGGCTTCTACTATTTCTGACGTGGGCTGTCAGGATGAAGAAGTGGCTTTGGCCGTGCTGCGGGTGCTCACAATCCCTGCTTTGCATCGCCTTTCGTGCCTTCAAGCATTGCACTCTGCTGAGCTGCACCTACTCATTCCGAATCGCAGTTGAATCGGTGCCACATATGAACTTTTTGACTGCTTTGCAGGCACCGGATCTTGAGGAACATTTTGGCAGATCCCGAGTCTCGCCGAGTCAGGCATTGGAGCGGTGAACGTTCAGCCTTTCCCATATAATGCCTGAACGGCAGGCAAATCCGGATTCAGAACCCCCGGTTCAAAGAAAGGATCGGGCGCTTTGCGCAGGCCGTCTCACTTCTTCGGAAGATTGGTGACCTGGTGAAAGCAGCGAAGAGTGAGCATGCCAGCTTGTGTTGCTCGTGGCCACTCAGGTTTTCAACAAGGCGACTTTTGGACCAGCGCATTCGACCGTGAGCCGTGTTTGGAATGGCGGCTGCCGGTGGGTTCTGCCAACCCGATGTCGCAGCGAATGGAACGTAGCCGGGCCTGGATTGCCCGTTTATGCAGCAGTCGACAGGAAGCAAAGCTGAGCAGCAAAGCTCGGCCCAGGCGCATTCTCCCTAATTGATGAAGTCCTACGTGCTCCGGATTCTTGGATACCCAGCGTTTGTGCTGCCATGCCCGAGGTGGGGGAAATGGTGTGGGATTTGATCCAAGCCAGAAGTAGCCCAGTGGAGGTGAAGAGCAGCTTCGGCGAAGCATTGGACGTACCAACATCACCAACGTCCTCCGAAATTACTTCCACTGCACGTGACTCGAATGGTCTCCTTGATCAGCTGTCGGGTGCAGACGCCCTGTGCGAGCCGCTTTTGGTTAGGTGAGCTGCTTGCAGAAGTGCATGCTCGTCGAGCTCGCGACCCGCGAGGCTTCCAGGAAGCCATGCGAGCTGCAGGATCTGGCCAGCAGTCGAGTCGTTAAAGGGAGCTGCTTTAGCTCACACTTCCCCCGCGCTGGCAGGACGGCAGCCCAATCCATCGGTGTATAGCCTTCAGTCTCGTGCAACTGATGCCAACTGGCGACCGCTCTCGGAACGCTTCCCCGGAAAGCGAGAGCATCTCAGCAAAGACCGCTGTCTAGGTTCTTTAGAATGCAAGCGAGGATGCGCTAAAATGCTGCCAAGGTTTAATCTACAGGATCTCGAGAACATGCGTGTGGAAGAGGCCATTGGCAACATGCCACTGCCTCTCCCCTGCGATTCGTGCCGGCACTTTCGGCATTCGCCTTGCATGCACTCCGACATTTGCTGCTGAGGTATGCCAAGGAATACGAGGCCAGTCTGGGGCAAGCGTCGTCCTATGGAACCTGGGCCGTCTTTGTAGACAACTGTGACGAATTGGATGGAATGGATAACATGTTGATTTTAAGTTTGTTCTGCGAATCGGCCCTGAAGCAAGGACAGCTCGTGTCACGCAGTTACGATCCGAACTACTTGAGTCGGCGGGCTTTGGACGAGACCAACATTTTCCGGGGTTCCGAGAGGATGCCGCCGTTGTGCCCCGTTCGCAAGAGTTGCACGGGATTGCTCCTTCCCCAGCTTCGGATCAGTTGCGGAATTTTTGCTGTCGAGCGTTTATGCGGGATGGGGCAATGATCATCTCTGGTCCCTGGCGTATCCTAGCTTCAGGAAGTGGTGCCAGGGCATTGCTGACATTGCGGCAGAGCACGCTCGGCAAATGGCTCGAGGTGGGCCTCGGTGTTGCCATCACGTTTTGAGCGCCTGGCCAGTTCGAGCTAAATGGCTTCGCCCACAGACAATCCGATATTTGCATTCAGCCACTCTTCTACGCAGAAGCGGAGTCTCGGTCAGGGAGTCAGGATGACGGCGTCGCGGCCACAAGCGCAGAAAGAGTGCATGTGCTGCATGGGTCCGGAGGTGAGATGCCCTTCAGCCATGATGGCTTCTCGGATCGAGTGAGTCGCTATCCGATTCCTCACCTCAGTGCGGCGGAGATCCTTGGATTGCATCTAGAAGCACTCCAGTCGCTCACTTCCCACCAACCTTATGCGAGAAAAGCTGCTTTTGCACAGAGTCCCCTTTTGCGCTATGCCCCTCTCTCAGTCGTGATGTCCGGCTGCAACCACACGCAGTGTCGCCATCAATCTAAATAGTTTGTCGGGAGTCCGGGAAATCTGCTGTTATACATCGCCATGGTCTCTCTTTGAGCCCGTGAGCACTAGAGTTACTAGAGTAGTAGTGCCAGGAACCTGGCATACAACAGCGGCGTGGCTGATACAGCTGGCGTTGCGGTCCAGGTTGGGGTAGCGAGAGACTGAGAGCGGAAGCCGTGACTTGGACTAACTCATGTGACTGACCTTCCTATTCCGGCGCCCAAGCAGGGCTGGATCAAGTCGCCGGGCCATCGCAAGAATTTGTTGGGTGCTTTCGACCTCTGTGGAATCGGTGCCTGGGCCATGTTTTGCATGCTGATTCAGGCGTCATCCGCTTTGCATCGAGGTGTTGCGCAGTCCTCCTCTGGACAGTTCTTCTTCACGCAGCTGTTTGCCCGAAGCGCCGGCGGGGCGCTTTGCTGATGGCGGAGATCTCCGGAGGAGACCGGGTTGGCTCAGCTGTGAGCCACCTTGTACAGGGCACAGCTCAGTGGCCAGCACCGCCATACGGACATGCCAAGAAAAGACATAAAATATCGGCGGGGTGAACGTCATGTTGCGTGAAGTGTAGTGACAACCTCCCATAGTCTGGGGCCACTCATGTCTGACGATGGATTGTGAAGGAGACTGTTGTAGATAGCAGCTAGCAATCTGCACTCACCATTGGAGTCCGTCTGTGTATCTTAAACTTGAACACTGCGGCGTGGTGTTCTGCGCTGCTTGCAGGCGTTGCGCTGGCACGGGCCTTAAGCGCACTGTGCATCCACTCCATGCCACCTCAGACACCCGCAGACAATCATGCCATTGGGCCCCTTCAGGTTGTCACGATCTGCACCAAGCACTTCGAGAGCAGAAGCCCCATCAGTGATGATTTTGCTGTGCATAGCGCTGAAGTGGACGACACGGTCATAGAAGCAAAGAGCCGAGCCCAGTCGCATGTCTCCCAGTCAATGCCTCGTGCACGAGCATGCTTTATGTGCTCTCAGATCAAGTCTTGCAGTACATGCAGAAGGAGGGACGGCTGATTCTGGAGGTTCCTTGTTTTAGATGTTCAATGCGTGTCGCGCCTATTCCAGCTGCCAAGCTGTGGAGGATGACACCCCGTTTGATAACAAGGGCTGGACACAGTCACTGAGCTGCACTGTCGTGACGGATCGCCTCTACTCAATGGCTTCCATGAGCAAATTGTTTGATTGCTGCAGTTTGCCAGGTGCAAGGTCTACACCCTCCGAAAGCCACCCGCCCCGAACCCAGAACTAACAGTGCCAAGTTGCAAAGGCCTAGTATTGGCAGCGCTAGCGCTGCTAGGGATGTTAGTATGAAGTTCGTCGTCGGATTGCGGCATCTCGTCACGTCATCGAAACTGACGGCTCAGAACGGGTCGAAGACTCACGGAAGGAATGGGGACAGGTCCATGGTGAGCACAGTCAAAGCTAGTCGAAGCTGCTGCCACATGCCAGAGCGAAAATGGATAAGATGCGATATACGCAGGCCGTGCAGCTGAATCAGAAAGGGGGCGCTATGGAAGCGACAAGTACCAGTTCTGGCTATGTGAGGGAAAATAGACGCTGCTGGTAGATGGCGCTTCGAATATCCGACATCGGGCAGGCTGTTGAGAACCTGAACGTGTGTGAACTTTCGTGGTTGCATTGGCTTCAGCACTGCACGAATTCAGAATCCTTCCCGAGCCTATGTTCTTGAACATGCCGAGCTCAGGCAGCTCTAGTGTGGTTTGGCAAGACGACACTGCCCTCAGCACTCACCAATATTCTGCAGGTCACCGTAGTGGCACCAGCTAGCATCGACTGTTCTTGTGGTCGTCATACTGGTAGCCACTCATGATGGACGATGTTTGGCCGCGGTGAGCGGAGCGGACAGCTGCAGAGACACCCAGGCTGTTGACTGTGCGCCAGTCTGCCTTGTAATGTCAATGGTCCAGAAGTGCTGCGGGCTTGAGCATTGCAGCGGGCAGAATACGCGTCTGCGTGTGTGTGTGTGTGCACCCTGATTCTAAGCTAAGGGATTTGGTGAGGACCTGTTGACTGCTCACACTTTCAGAAGCGGGGGGGCAATCCTATCACCCTTGTTGATTGCCCAACGAAGAGGGCTCAGGATTATAGCTGATACACTTGGAGACATCCGAGTGCGTACCTGCCAGTGTTTGCTTCTCTGAAATGGCCACCAGGCAAAGCCGAAAAACCTGGCAAGCCGAGGGTTGAGTTGTCACTTTCAGGTTTCAGGATACCAAGGTAGACTCGTCCTCGTCCCCTACAAGATCGTCTTCCTTTCCCTCAAGATCTTCCCCAGAA